TATATCTAGTAAATACTAGAGCATTCGCCAAAGTACAGGATAGTTCTAGAAACGTGGCGTCACAGTAGTCATGTGACTCGTTGACACAACATAACTATGATTACATGTACATTTGTGCACTCATACTCTATACCATAAAGAGGTATATATGAATAAAAGGAATAAAAACTTTAACTTAATACCTTTCCATCATCAGCATACACAAAAATATTCCTTGTGGTTCCATCTTTAACAAAAGTTATTTGCATAGCATTAGCATGGTCGACCTTCATTGGACAAAAGACAGCATTAAGCTCCGAAACCTTCATCACTAGTTTAGGTTCTTTGTTCTGAGAAAATAAAAACAAAGCCGTCACACATATATATTCGTCAATGAATTAGCAGATACATAAATATACAATCTTGATGATACAAGACTTAAAATACCATAAATTAAATAACAAATATTAATAATTTATTTATTAGTTGTGTAGAATCCACATCATTATAGTTCATTTAAATTTGTGTTCACAATAAGAATGTTCTTGTTAAGAATACTGCTAATGTGATCCAAGAATATTGTTTCTTGGATCACATTAGTATTTACCAGATGCTTTCTCAGCTGAAATGAAGATAGGACACAGATAGCCTATTATATAACTTTATGCTTAACAACAAACAAATATTCTGGGGGAGGGGATGCAAAAATATTTCAAAAATATTGAAAAGAAAATAAACTCACCTCAAAATTGGACATCAGTCTTACGGAGCTAACAGTGTATTCAACTAGCCAGAAATTCAATATTTGAACATTATTGCCTCATCCCTGAATTATTTCTTTATGGTTTATATTTTTATTAATATAAAATTTATTTTAACAATTTACATGAACTAGTGATATACCTTTGGCTTGAAGGACTGACTGGAGGTATGTGGATTAAAATGGATGGGAACTACTGACTTATAAAATACTTTTTGTTGAGAAAAATTCGTTGATTATAAAAAACTTTAAATTGCTCAGAATATAACTAATGAAATTAACATAAATTCCTAGGTGTTTCAAAATAACTTAATTAAAATATCAAAATAATTTGTATATACACCGTATCCTAGAGAAATAATAAAAAGTAACTCCATTTTCTAGTTCACCACAATACTTCGAAGTCATAAATTAACTTCTGCTCAATGACTTCATTATAAACCTACAAATAATAAGAAAATGAGAGTCAAATAAATACAAAGATAAAATCTTACTTCCTTCACATAATATCTGAGGCTGTCATCAGATTCATTTAGAACAAATTTACGTAGATGAAACTTTTCATTTTCTTTCCCACGCTTCCAGAGATACCCTTCCATAAAACCCTTCAAATAAATTGGTTTTTCTGGCAAAATAAACTCTTGCCTTAAATACTTAGCTTGTATCCATTGTTCTTTCAAAACTCTGATAAAAAATAAAATAAAATATTGATTGATGAAATAACTATTAAGACTAAATATTCAAAAGCACAAAATAAAACAATAATTTATGTATCAAATAAAAAATCCTTCTATTGTATTACTTTTTATTATCAACTTCAAAGTTTAACTTGATAATACTGTACGAAGCTATGGCATGTTTTTTGTAAGTTGTTTCTTGTGAAAACTTGTAAATGTTTTTTTTCTCTGTAGTTTAAGTAGTTATATATAATTCTTTGTAATCATGCATTGCAATTTTGGCCCAGAGATGTCACCACAGGTGCTTCGGATTGATATACAATCATTAACCAATAATTTTTCTGGAACATATGGGCTAAGGCAATAAACCATATGCATGTTGATTCAATTGTGAAATAGTCAAACAGGATTATAAGGTGCTTATTGAAGTTCTTTATTGTTTCATGTTGATAAATCTGGAAAGTGGCATTAACACAGAATGAAATGATGATATTACTGTATTAGAGAAATTGTGCTAAATGCAAACTAGCTTTACATGAGCCGAGGTTTCCTCTGATTGTAGGTGTCATTCAGGCCCTTATATCACTTATATCAACGAGCAATATCTTAGTTAAGTATAATTATTCAGTACCAATATAAATGAAAACAGTTTAAAAACAGATATATTAGGTTTTCAAACTAAACAATACATGTATTAAAAATGAAAAGATTTTGTTTTTGTGCTGATGAAAAATGAAAACTTTCTAGAAAGTATAATTTTGGTCTCCAAGACTCTGATATACAGAAAATACAATTTGATTTCTACATCAATATCCTCTAATTCAAATAGTATATTTTGTTATGACATACTACAGAGTGATATATTGAAATATATTGTAATAATCAATGGGGAAGATGTCCCCTGAATTTTGTTTCTTTTTTTCTAAAGAACACCCTTATGCTTACCCCAGCTACAGAAACCATCCTGGCCCCTTTGAAACCAAAGTTATGCCATTGCATGTAATCACTTTTAGGAACTTGAAAGAACAAATAGCCTTTAAAATTTTGAAACAGCTAAATGCACATAAGAAAAATAAAGTGTTCCTACAATACTAACTTGTAAGAAATGTTAAGTATAGTAGGTCTGCCATCACGTTATTAAGGAAACAAAATATTCTAAATACACCACATAAACACCGTAATGTGTAGGAACAAAAATTATAACTAAAAACAGGCCTAGCTAAAGTAATTTCCATTAAATATACAGAAAGGCCATCGGTTAATTTTTCTAGATCTGACATTTACTTTGAAAGATATAATAAAATGTCTGCCAAGTGTTCAGAAACATCTATATAAATAACAACATTTAGATTTTTTAGTTCACATCCTCACCGCTTTATATAGTAACAGTTAACATTTTCTTAAGAATCTGGCAAGCTACACAGCATAACGATATACAGAGATAATTTATAAAGCTTCAATACGGATAAGCTTCTTTTTGATGAAGTCTGCAAAAAACAAACAGTGTACAACCAAATAATAAGCAGTGAATAGTTCACATATATCTTTAAATTTTTATTTGAATTCAAAAATAATTACTCATATCAATACAATGGTTTGGGTTCATTCATAGATGGGGCTTAATTCACATTAAAGTTCATCCCCTTGAACACAGGTTAAAGGTCAAGGTCTTGAAAGGCTGAGTGCAGTTAATTCTATCTTGAAATGAATTTTCTTCAGCAACGTATACTAATTAACTAAATCAATATAAATTTTTTTGCTGTAAATGCAACAAATTTATTAAATGGTGAATATTTCTGAACAAAGTTCTAATGGCCAGAAGTCACTCAGTAAGTGCAAAATATACAGTACGAGAACATATTCATTGTAACAAATAATTACAGATTTGTGAAACAGTTATAACCACTTTCAGTTTTTTTTCATTGGCTTTCAATCTTCTTCTCAACCTTAATCCACAGCTACAAATACTTATGCACTTATCATGAGACTCATATAATTAGGCCTATTCTTACAGTCATTCGCATCAGTAAAAAAAAGTAAATCTCACTTTTTGGTCAAATTAGCAGCTTTCTATGACACATTGTGGTTGTTGACTGCCTGGATCCAGGTCAAATTCAGCAACACTTTGATCCAGAACATGCACCATTTTGCTTTCCTGAATAAAACATTTTTTGGATGAGCATACCCTCACAACTGCCTCACCCAGAAGGCAACCACCTTCAGCACTCATAGAACTTTACCACGTTCTACAGTTTTACTTTTTCAAAAGTCTCGCTCAAACAAATTCCTAAAAGTTGGCAGCTCTGTTGGCAGTTAGATAAGTTTATTATTCTCAAGCTTCCTTAACTTCTTAGTAAATACACATGTGGCTGAGATAAGTTCAAGTCACATCAGGTATGAATATATAAAATCAAACCCAAAGAATAGAAACAATAAATTAGCTTAGTATTCACTAACATGATTGTACCTTTCTTACTCATTTTCTACTCAAAGTTCGTAAATAATCTGAAAATGTTTTACCTGAAAAATAGATAAATGTTAAGAAAACCTGGAAAAGAACTTTTACCAGCATAAAACTGGTAAAATGCATCTCATTAAATACTTTTAGACTTGGTGCATTATAGAAATGTAAGAATAAATGGTATTACTGGAAAAGTAATAAAAACTGTATTGTCTTAGCATTTATATAAAATTAAAAAACATTTAGAAATGGGTAAAAAAATATACATACAAAATATTTCTAAAACTACAAATAAACATTTCCATAATTGTCTAAAAATATTTAAGAATTTAACCCATTAACTGCTGCAGGAGCATCTCAGTTGCCGTTTTCTGACTCACAAATAAAACTGAGTTGTCATCAATCATAATAAAATGGTAATTATCGTCATCCGCATATAGTTATAGTTATATATGTGCGACTGACGGATATTTCCGTCATTCGCAGCTGAGCCATAGAACTTCCATGACGGAAATATCCATCATCTGCAGTTAATGGGTTAATATTTTTTACTCTATAGGAAATTACTTTATGGTTGAAAAACAAATGTATTATTTAACTCAAGAGATTGTCTACCCTTATGGATCAATATTTTCTATTAATACAACAGTTGCAGCTATCAAAACTGGATCAATTATGATAACTATATGAAGGAATGAATTGATTACAAAATACAATATAAAATAAAATAAAACTACTTTCTCATTTTAAATAAACTAACTACAAGCCAGTGATACTGATAACTTTAACAATGTGTAGTGTTTGCTTGCTCTGATCAAGTTCCTTTTTTTCCTGTACCCTTGAGATTGATCTTTCTTTAAGTAAAAAAATAATAATTTGTAACATTTTTCTGAGATCTACCACATAAAAATACGATAGTTGTAGAAAATTTAACATTTTTCTTTCTAAAAATGTACTTTCTTCACTACAGAACTCTATTATGTCACACCACCGCCAAATGTTTTTGACCATGCAGAAAGCTCCAAATTAAACTCCCATCCCTAGCTGTATTAATGTATAATGCATCAGTCTATGAATCAGTCAGCATTAGACTATAACCCTCTACCAATAGGAGGGCAACAGATCCCCCCTGCATAGTAGTTCCCCCATTACACAGTGTGTATTACCAATAGCCCATTCTTGATGAAGCAAAAGAAACATACCAGAAGTGTTGAGGAAAAGCAAGTGCTTTCCTGTCTTTTGATGTAAGAAAGAAATGACAGTGGAATTGTCTGAATGGAAGATATATATAAACAGACAAGACAGAAGATGATGGAAAGCTCATTCAGCAGCCAACATTTCAAGAACATTGATATGGAAAGACCACTCTTCTGAAGATCAGATGTCCAAAATCATACTCCACCTACACAGAGAAGCATATGTGAACAGATGCAAGTCCTGGAGAGGTAAAGGAAGAGAGATGACCAGAGTCTGTGTTGGACCGTATAAGCCACAATGGCAGCAAAATATGGAGAGGGAGATAGAGAGATACACACACAAGAGAAAACAGTGGATCACTGGACATACTCCATTAATCAGCTCAATGTTCAGTTCACTGAAGAGTTCATATTATGGGCACATCCAAGAGGAACAAAGGACTTAAAGAGAAGCCAAAGTCCCCATAAGAGGCATAACTTTCTCACACAGGAAGAGAAGCAGACATAACATCTTTAGTAACCAGAAGCTCCATTTCTCAAAGATATATAAGAGAAGGCAGAGCCTGCCTGCAAATGAGTTTAATACGACTCCCAAATGTACCAGGTACTGGGTGGGGGTAAAGAAGACTCGAAGAGCTTGATCAGCCAACTCTAACGCGATGACTCCTGAAGGAGAAGACAGGTCACAGTTGAGAATGACTCTCTGAATGGAGCAAAAATAAGTCAGTCATCTACATAGTAGTGCAAATGTAGGCCCAAAAAATGCATCCTCCAAGCAATATGTCCTCAGGACCCAATAGAAAACATAGAGCTAGAGCCAGCCTGAAAGGAACAGCCCAGAATTGAAGAATATGACTATTGTGGAGGAAACAAAGAAGCTATTCAGTCAGTCAAATCAAGTTGTGAACAAATGCATCCACAGTACCAGGAGAGGAAACTACTGCACATAAAAGATGTATCACCCTCCTACTAGTGAAGTGTTATAGTCTAATGCTAACTGTACCAAAGACTGGCACAATTCACATTAATGCATGTAAGAGTGGGAGTTTCATTCAAACGCTCGGCACAATAACTTTTCAGCAATGCTGCAAGATAATAACTCTCAGTTACGCGGAGAGGTGAGTAGCATTTCTGAAAAAAATGCCCTATCCATTAAGATCTTAATGCCTTTTTATGACTTGTGCATTTTTCTGAAGTTAAGACAATAAATCTCTCTAGTAGGTACAACATTCTCTACAAAAAAAAAATTAACATATCTTCAAAGTACAAGTTTCTGAACATTTTCAATACAATAACAACTAGTTATCACTTTATAAAATGTCATCTAAAACATACACACAAGACCAGCTCATTAGCAATATTTCACATTTCTTACAACTACATGTAGGTGAAAGCTACCAAGAAACATCAAGTTAATTTTGATTATTTTAATTATATATATATATAATAGTCAAATGTATGTCTGTCTGTCATGAACTGTATCTCCTGAACACTTACTTGTAAAATAAAATTTTATGAAAATGTTTCTTTTCAAAAGTACATTACAGGAAAATTGTTCATTTTTTGCAATTGCTATAATTTTATATTGATATCAACAGTGATACATCAGTCTTGGTATGTACTACATGGACAATCTGAGAAAACTTATTAAGAACAAAAATGTTTCTTTTTCTGAGGGAATTTCATAAAAAAAAAAAGACTTTCTCTGTCAACTGAATTAAAGAAATATTTCAAAGATAGGAGCATGAACATAAAAAACACAGAAGAACGTGTTTGAGAATACATTTGTTGTTCTTCATTCATATATATATATATATTTTTTTTTTCATTTAGTACATGTGCGATTTTATTGAATCATGTTGATTAAATTTATTTGAATTGAATATCTCCCCTTTCACATTTCTTATAGAAATGACAACTGTCAAAAAAGCACTTACTTTGGTAGTGATCTTTTCTTGAACTCAGTAAAATTAAAAGGAAAGATGGCATCTAGTGGGAAAAAAATCCCCACTGCTTCTTAGTAAACACGACCGATCTATTGTGCTGGATGCAACCATTGCATCAAAACCCAAACATTTTTGCCAACAATACATTGTATTCAGTCTTCTTTGTTTACATTTTCCTTACTGAAATAACACAGTTGAGGTAATTTCTGTTGTACAATTTATATATACATACAAACAGAACCTGGTAAATATTATAAGAATATACTTGTATAAGTAAATAGATATATATATTAACAGGACAAAAGCACATCAGAGAAACTAAAACATGGGACTAACCAAAAGATCTTAGTACATAAGGTATTTAAAAGAAAAATAGGAATGCACTCTGATTCAATAAAAAAAAGCATTACTCACTGGACATCTGTAGGGCAAGGCCTCTTGTAACATAATGGAACGTGAACTTGATACTTTTCTTTAGCTTTATCATTACCCATGTCTTTCATCATTTGTACCTGTGCTAAATCCCAATTATCCATAAATACCGATTTCACTTTGCTGATGTGAGAACCCAGGTTCCGATGGCAAGCTGCACACTCAGTACAAATAAATATTCCAATGTTGTATGATGCCCATTTTGGACCTTCAAAGAGACATCAAAATCAAATATAATTATAAGGAAGCACAATATACAACTAGCCATATTTTAATATACTATTCTGAAAAAAAAAAAGAAAAAGAAAAAGGAAGCACTCAAAAATTTATGTTCCACTATTCAGTTCAATAAACATGTTGTATATGTGAACTTTTCTTAGATTCAAGCCGTATTAGTAAGATCATTGCATAACAAAAAACTTAAATTACTCTATTCACATATCAATATTTCTTCTTAATTTTACAACTAAAAATTTATCATTTTGTACAGATGCAAGTGTAATAATACACTTATTCTTATACACATAATTGGTAAAATTTATTATTTCTTTCACTATTGTGGGCATACATGTCTTTCATCTAGGCTAGTGCCATTGGAATTTAGATCTTTGTAACACCTAGAAAAAAAGGTATTCTCCTTCAAAGTTCTCAAAGTTTGCCAGTGTTAAGTTTGAGATAAGTAGTTAAATATAAAAGATGCGTCTTTTTTTGTTTTTTAAACCTGACACTGACAGTATTTTCTGTTTGTAAATGTGATAGGGAAGGAGTTGAAAGCAGTGGTTTCCTTTTAACTGCAAAATCTTCTGTAAAGCTATCAATTTAAACTTTGAGTCAGCTTAGTTAAATGTCACATGTAATACACAGATGCCATGATGCAGGAAACACATCTGTAATGATGTTTCACTTTGGTACAAAAGCTAACAAACACATTAAAGATGCTTCTTTTATTATGAAACTTGATATAAGACTTCTTTTTGTACAATAAAATGATGATACATTAAACTTGTCACGTCATATATCACATGAAGTGCTGATAAGTAGTTCTTGTTTTATTTATTACTTTTTAATTCTTATACTTATTACTTCATGTAAAGATTTTCAACTGATTTGATGATTTCATAGGTATTTTTTCTGACATCATTCATTAGCGAAGTTCCGTTGTTTCTTAGTCTGAAAGGATATCAAATATTGGGGATGCGATGTAAGAGGAACTACAAGAGCTTCACAGAGAGGGATACTGTCTCCATTTTGAAAATAATCAACACGTATTATATAATAGTTTAATATATTTGGAAGACAGATATAAAGGGTCTGAATTTAGCAGTATAACCCAAAATGTTGCATCTCATGGAAATAAGTGAGGTGAAGAAAATATAGCTGATACACAAGAACTATATTTGACAAAGATACTTTTTTTCACAGCTGTACATTAATATATGGAAATTATTAGTTCTTTCCAGATGCTTTTGTGATGCTAAAACTGTGTACAAAAATACTTGAATTAGAAATAACCAACAACTACAAAGTAAAAAGTAGATCCCACCATTATCAACATACATGTTCTTACATAAAAAGAGGTTATACATCCCAATGTTATAATTGTAACAAAGGAATAACCTCCACAAATATAACAATAAAAGTGTACATTATACTAGTACTCTCATATATATAAATACACTGTGTGCTTAATTACCCGATTGGTCAGACACTAATTAGAATAAAGTTAAGATTTAACAATAAGTTTAAACAAAACAAACTTTAAGAGTGAATTAGAAACCAGCTTTAACAATGGTTGATGGAAATAATATTTGTCACAAGTAGAATCACTATGACTGCAGCTGTACACATGCATTCCGTGAGGCCAAGTTGGTCAGTGAAGCCTAACTTAGATTTATTTTAACAATGATAATAGCAAGACCCTCAATTCCAGCACTATTTCACCATCTAAAATTACTCTTTGCTTTTGTATGTATATATATATCCTACATGTTCTTGGAAATGCATGTAACCTGTAACATCATCTTACACATACATAGCAACTCACCCCAGAACAACACACAGGAAACACATCCTGCCATACAGGTTAAAAACAGGAAGCTTTTTTATAGGAGTATTCCAAATTAACAGAAGTAAGGAATGTTCATGAAACTCACTAGTTTTATTTTACCCATACATACATGTAATATTCTGATTAATCTGCACAAATTAATTACCACACCCACAATAGCTCAAATGGTGGCACAACACTGTCAGTAATAATCTTAGTATTACCAGTAACCTTAACAAAAATATAACTTACAAATAATAACCGATCTAAGTAAGATTTTAGTTACCATGCATTTATCACTGTCATAACAACAATTTAATTTTTTATATTGGGTTAAGTAAACAATAAGTTAAATTGTTTAATATTATTGGGTCTATGGTAGGATTTAATGACAATAGTTATAAAAATATTGTGGCTTTTTTTCAACTTGCTGGAAACAAAATAGATATGAGATGCTATTTTTATGTCATTGATTTTGAATTTGAAATGTACAAATTAAGAGGAATGTTGGAAAACTAATCTTCAGTTTAACTTTTAAGTGAGCTTTTTTTTTCATTTTGGTATAATTTATACGTTCACCATGAGCCGCTTTCAACGTTGCACTGATGGCAGAGATAAGGTTAATTATAGTAAATGTAACTTAATTATACTATACTGTACTAATTCCACTGTTTTCCTTTACTAGCACAGGAACACCAACACTGTTACAATGCAACACTTAGTTATACAAAAGCTATACTTATCAGCCCTAGTAGTACAGTACTAGTAGGGCTAGTTAGTAATAGTAATACTACTAATACTAATAGCCATGTATCAATATTTATAATTATATTTCTAGTTCTAGCTACATTTGTTAACATTAATATAATAATGATAAAATAACTCACCCTCTGCACCACAGTCTGCACAGTATAAATGTTCAGGCAGTTTTAATAATTGGACCAAAGTCCTTCTGTTAATTTCTGCCATCACATATATTACTATTAGTATTATTAATAACTTTCCCTTTCAATTTTCTCTTGTGCGTTAGTCATTTTTCCATCAACACTTTTTCACCAACCAGTATCACGCCCTTGCACTCCGCACTATTTGTTTCTACAATACTGAGAACACGTTCCAGTAACTGAGTCAAAGTCTAATCCAGCGCCTTGAAACAGATGTCGGCTTCTCTACTTATGGCGTGCCACTCACGATGTATAATAATATTCATCTATATTATAATATTTACTTCGTATAAGATATTTAAATACAAAGCAGTGATACTTAGAATAATTTTGGTGGATAAAATAAAATATTTGTAATAGGAAACGACAGAATAGTAAATTATTAATAGTGTAATAAATATTGTTATATTTATTAATATTATCATAAATATAATTTTCCTATACCGTGAGGGGACAGTTCATATAAATATAATTTTCCTGTACCTCGAAAGGGCAGTTGAACGGAATGGGTACAGTTAGGTTAGGATACACAGAACTACTTTGAAAGGAGAAGTTAAAAGAACTGTGGTCCTGGATTTGTAGAAGCAGATGTGGTATTTTCAGATTGTGTGATTTACTTCTAGTAATCGGTTAGGAACCGCAGATTAATTGGAGATTTTCCAGAAAATGTTGTAAGGACTAAACCCTGAATTATCTTAACCTCGACTGAGTCTAAAACAAAGAAAGAGACTGGACACAAAAAGTATTACACAGTGAAACAACCTTTATTCAAACACAAATGTATTTTTACACCTTTAATGCAACGTGTTTAAAGAACTTGTATTTGTTTAAATCTTCAATATCTTTTTCTCCCATCTTGTTTCATTTTGAGAAAACGTGGTATTATATAGGGAAGACAACTATGTCAATCTTCTCAGGCTATAGTGACTGGTGGACACTCTCACTTGTAAAGGGCGAGCATGTTTGGTGTGACGGGGATTCGAACCCGCGATCCACAGATTGCGAGTCGAACACCCTAACCACCTGGCCATGCCGGGCCAATACATATTAGACTGTGCTTAGTCCCAAAGTTTTCACTCTCTTGGGGTTGATCTCTAGAGAACTAAAACACAGTGGATTTAAAGTATGATCCTCCCTTAACCTTAAAACCAATAATCTTTAAA